AAGCTAGCCTCATGTAATGAAAATTATGTTTTTGAATTTCTTAATACGTTATTATTATTTTAAACTGTCAGCAATTTTTAATAAATTATTCTTTTTCTATTGTTATTGATAAAGTGAAGCTAATATTAGTTGGTTCATATGAAATTTCATGTTTCCCGCTGAACATTCATGGTCATGTGGTATGCCACTTATTTAACAGCTTGAAAACTTGAAAGTTTTTTAAATTTAGGAAGAATTGGAAAATTTTTTCTAGAAATTGAGATCGAACTTGGCTAACACATAGGGAATCTTGTGTATGGAGATTGGAAATCTCATGTTCGGAGATGCTAAAAGTTAACAGAATCCTTGTGTAATCCTAAGAAACACAACCCATAGTTTGCCCTTCAGGTGGGGTTTTTCTTTCCTTGATGTTTTTTTGGAAAAAAGGGAAGGGGGGGGGGGGGTTGTGGGGGGATGGTGGTGGCAGGGAGACCACCGGGGAATTGCGATGCCCATGTACATGGAGTGCAATCCCCTATGTATGTGTAGTGCGACACCCCAGGATCATCATGGTTGAATGTGTATTAAGCACACTACTTGATATTCTGTTCTTTTTCCTTTATGTATGAGTGCAATGGTATGCTAAAAAACACAATAACAACAGCGCAAAAACACAATAACGACAGCAATGTGCATATTGTATATGCAACTAATTTCCACCATAGCTTTTATTATGAAAAATTACAATTCTGCTACTTAAGAGGTAGTTAATAAGTAATTTTTTACCAACATAGGAAAAGTTAAAACAGTAATGATGTATCTCATTTTCATCATAACATCATATGGAACGTAGCCTATGTGATGCTGTGATAGAAGATGATTACTTCATGTCATTTCAAATGACTCATCTTAAAATTATAGAAGCATTGGAGAGATGTCCAAGTGTGTATGGAATGCCATGTGACTTTCATTATTTACTTAAATGCTAAGCTTCAACGTGACATGAAAATGGCTGAGTTACATGTTTTCATTTTTACTTAATTCTCAAGAAAGCAGGAAATATGTGTGGCCATTTATCATGTAAATCAGGGAGCATGCAATGACCACCAAGTGTCCTGAGCCTCGTATTTTCTTTTTATTTATTTGTTAAGTAGAAAATAAATGACGTTTTTATTTGTCATGTAAACCGATTCTCTTCTCCCTACACTACCCATAAAACATACGATCTTGCTAGGTAGCTTTGCAAATTGCATATCTAGATATTTATTTTAGTATCCACAAATGTGTGTGGGCCAAACAATCCTGCTAGGCAGTTTTATCTCTGCTGTATTTTTTCATTCAAATTCTTTATAGTGCATCAAGAAGCCATTCAGGTGTGTTCTACTCGCCAAACACTGGAGATATGAATGAAACGGGCTGCTCATGAGCAGCCGAAACCTGTTCCAAATCCATAAATAAAACATTTTCTGAGAAATTAGTTGTGGATTTCATGTCTTTCCGTCTTCCTAAACAATTGGACTCAATTTTTTAAAGAAAACCACAAAGGGCACACATGAGCACAATTTTTAACAACCAGTATATTAAGATACAAATAAAAAGAAAACCACAAAGGGCATATTGTTCTCAATTCTTTGTTTGTTTTCTTTTCCCCCAAAAGTATATGCCATTAAATGACACATCAGCGGGACATCTGTCTCCTCCCATCTCTAAAAAATGTGAGTATTCTTTCTCAAATCATTGAGTTGTATGATGGATCGGGAAATAAACATTGCCACCATTTCAGATTAAAGGATGTGGGAGTTTTGTGAAAGGGTGTTTTATAGCACCTTTTTATTTTAATTTTTATTTTTTTAGGGCTTTTTTGGCCCTGTACACTAGGTCGAGTCCACTCAGACTACCCGAGTTATTTGGCTCGGGCAGGGCCCCAGGCCTGAGCCTGAGCCTGAGCCTGAGCCTGAGCCTGAGCCGAGTTTGTGAACCTTGCTTCCATGTAACAGAAATTGATACTTAATATAATCATATATGTAATATATGTGTGTTTGTATTACAGATGGACCACATAGCATCTAACATTCTAAAAGTATTCTACAATAGTTGTAATGAACTCGAGCTATTTTTCTTTTTCTTTTCTGTAAGGTTCTAAGTTTTTCTTGTTTGGATTTTTATTGGAATCTTGATTGAAATCCTTATCCTCAGCTTGATCCATACTTCCTTTATGCTTCCCCTCACGTTTTGACTTGCTTTCCTGATAACTCACAAATGAAGTCAAATCAAATGGAGTAAATTTGTTATACATTTATTTGTGTTTTCTTGTTCCTTAAATAATGGAACAATTCCATATGAGAAGCATGTCTTTGTCTTTTGAGGTGAAATTCCATTGCTTATTGCATGTAATTTTCTTTCTTTCTTTTTTTTTTTTGGGAATGACGTCATTTTTAAAATTGTGGAAATTTTTTGTATGGAAATCTATTTACGATCTTTAATGGTCAATCCAGATATAACATTGGAGTAATTCCAACAAAGAAGGGGTTGTCTTTGTGCGATCGGCTGTCTGTCTCTTCATTCTGCAGGTAAGCAGGCATGTATGAATTGTGAGAAAAAATACCTTGTACTTTTCAAAATGATCATAATGCTCCGCCCTTCTCTCTTCACCCTTGTATTCTGCCAAATGCTTTCTACTATACTTTGATGGAAAGGATAAACAAATGCTTTTGGATTTGTGAAGAAAATTGCCTTTGTAAAAACATTTACAGGAAAAGTTTTTGATACAATAATTTTGTGGAATTGTGGTAAATGGTAAATGGTAACTGGTTGATAGCAAATCTAAAATTCTAAGATTATGAAATTTGGGGAAATTTTATTTCTATATGCTGTTCAATGATGTTGTAATGTTTTGCGTATTCGGTTTCTCTCTTATATTATTTTAATGCAAACTGCTAACATTCCAAGTCCATAAATGTGTATGGATGTAACTGCATTTAAAGACATCAATCTTGAGGAAATAACAAGATTATTTCGAAATTTGTCAAAATGATGATACTTGTGAAGTACGACGTTTTTAGGGCAACTCAGTAAGAATCTTATGAGTCATGCCATTTTTGGGATCAAAGAGTTTCGTGATTCTCTTTACTTTTTGCTCTAGCATTCTTAATATGTGAGCCCCCACATGGAGGTGCCTTGATTTTGAGACCATCGTAGGATTACAATGATTTTGATCCCCCTCCGGGGAGGGGGATGATTTTATTTGCTTGTCCTAGTATTTGAAAAGAGGCATGGTGGCTGCCTCAATACTACTTTAAGCAACTAACTGGACATAGCATTATGAACCCACAAACGCTGCATTCCTGTGGAAATTCCACATTAACAATGGAGGGTTGTGTATATACCCAAGGATAATATTATAGTTTTGTTTATATTAAAGTGTAAAAAGTGTCATAATTCATGGGAAAAAAAACCATAGTCCAATGAATTGAACTGTAAGTCTGATTTTATGGTCTTGCCAAAAGAAATTATAGCAAATGGTTCCGTTAGGCAACTCCTTTTATGATGCATCCTAAATGTACTCTACATTTCCAGACGCTTGATGCACATGATAACTCCTTTTCTGATATATGGCATTCTATTGCTACATCCACTGTCCTCTCCCAGAGATGGTTGGAGATCAACTGTAACACCATCTATCTATCTGTGGGAGCTGATGACCAATGTATGCTTTGCACTGTTAAATTATATCCTTAGAATGGGATTATGCATTGACAATAAGAGTAAACCCCACTGATATAGTTTTTATTATGTTGGTGTTGCAGGCGCAGGTTAGCTACAGTTTTGGTGAGACTTAAGTTTGCAGAGCACCTGAAAGAGGCAGTTACCTACATTGAGCAAGGACACATCCGTGTGGGCCCGGAGACTGTGACTGACCCTGCCTTCCTTGTCACCCGAAACATGGAAGACTTTGTGACTTGGGTCGATACTTCGAAGATTAGGAGGAAAGTTTTGCAATACAATGAGAAGTTGGATGATTATGATCTCCTCAACTAAAGTATTGGGACTCATGTAACATGGACACACATATCTATGGTTTTTGGTATATGTTAACACACCAAATACATGATACTCGTATCTAACACTTTAGAATGTTTGACACTTCTTAGTAACCTGTTTCTATTGAAATATTAGGTTAGGTATTTTACAGTCACCTAAAAGGCTACCTCCCTTTTATTTAAATGTACATATTTGTGTTTGAAAAGCCAGTTGCAAGTTCTATCAACCTTTATTAAGCAGTTTGGGAAAGTACCAAGCTCACATCATCTTTTTATTTCCAATAATGGATGGATGGTTATTCACGATTGGGCCCAATGGTCATTCGCCTCGGTGCAGTTAATCCCTCCGCCGTTTGTCGGTGGGAATGGTGGTGGATGCAGGTTGGCATACGACATAACCATGGTACATTCTTTTCCTGCAGTTGCAAAGCCAGTTAATGGTAGCTTGGATTGCAGAAACACTGTTTTGCCTCTAATTGTGATTGCAAAACAATTCTTTGAGACAATATTAGTTATGAGGGTTGTTTTACTCAGTGGTTTGAAAATTTGGTATAGCAATTTGGCTAGTTTTAGATTGGATAATTCATAACCAAGGTGAGGTGAGCATAGTTTGGATTTTGAATTCCTAGGACGAGTGGTTGGGATTATATGAAGGTTTTCTTTTGGAATCATTGGTGCTTGATCCTTGCTTTCATCGCTCCATATTGTCAAGTGCCATGATTTCTCAGGCTTGGAGTTCTGCTTGAGACATTTTCTCTGACATTGGTGCTTTTCCAATGTTTCGATTTTGAAACATCCTTACTTCCATGCAAGAGGAAAAAGAGTGTGTGCAATAGGGAGAGAGTTGCTTGCGAGAGGGAGAGTTGGATTGTGTATTCATGCACATAGACACATACATGTGTGTATATATATAGCAGAATGTCATCAAGATTCATGTAAGATTCAAGTAGTTGGAAAAAAGCTTTGATGATGATGATGATTATATATATATATATAAATAATGAGGGGTGGATTGCATTATATCTTGAAACTCTTGTAGAATTGATCTGCTTAGAAGACACTATCTGGGAAACAAGTGATCTGCTTATAAGACACTATCCGGGAAACAAGTAGACACTATCTGGGAAACAAGTGATTGTGGCTGTACCATCATTGGGGCTTGCGCCATTTTGTCTTTAATAAAACTAAAACCTTGGTTTTTCTTTGGCAAATTTGGATTGTTGCAAGGCGTGGATTGTAGGGGGTTTGTTTTTCCTCACTTGGGAGCTATGCATGGTGAGACTTCTAGTTTGGCTTCAAGAAAAGTTGCGCACGATTCTACATTTTTGCAAAGCCTAGTTAGTTTCCCTCCCTCTTCCTGCCCCCTGCTCTCTTGCCAAAAAAAGGACAAAAGAAATATATACAATGAGACCATTTATTTTTTATGCAATAATGATTGACAATCATCATTAACCATTTAAATCAAATGGTTGATACATCATTGTTTGGGGACAGCCCAAAATAAAATTTTTAAATGTTGTAACACACTTTCTTTTATTGGATTTCACATCCCCAAAAGATTAACTAGAAAAATACCTTGTAAACCTTCAATTTTTTTTTCAATGCTCACTTGGAACATGACATTGTACATCTTCCCCACTAGGGCAGGTCTCTCTCTTACTCTCTCTCTCTCTGTGCATATGTACACAGGCCATAATGCACATGTTGATAAAACAGGAGAGAAAAATTCAATCAAACGTTTCATTATCTAATCATTAAGAGTATTACAAAAGAGCGATATATCTATCCATTGTGCACAAAGGAATTCCTTTCAGGGAAGGGATGATGCACCAATTTGATCTATGTGCTCCCCCTTTGCAAGGGGTGGGGAGAGAAAAGGGGGCAAAAAAGGAAAAAAAAAAAAACTAGTCCCACCTTCACTGTCTTACAAATGGACAGACAGTACTGAGAAAGAGGACTGTAATATTTTGCCACGATGCAGGGGAACAACAAAAATTTTACAACAAATTACTCATTCTTTTAGCACTCACTCACTCAAGAGGATTTGGACTGGCTGATATATCAACAACCCCACAATCTCCTTCAGCCAAAAGAATTATATTCCGATTGGATACTTTTTCCTGCCATATTCACATACACAAAACATTTGGTCACCTAACAATCCTCTCTCTCTCTCTCTCTCTCACACACACACACACACGCACACAAAAGCAAAGATCAAACCTTGAACTACAAGACGACCTCAACCCAACGCTCAGGTAGGAAGAAGGGGTTCTCTTTCATCAGAACCAACGCGATGGCTCGCCTGCAATGAAAAAGAGAGATGTTGTGAATGGCATAAAATTTTAGGAATCTGAGACTGGTTTCTTGTGCACATTATTTCAAAGGTGAAAAGAATGTTTACATCTTCAGTGGCCCCAGCAGTCATGTTTATGAAAGATGTATCCTTTGACCTGAAGTTACAAACATAAAGGTAGTATCTTATCAATCGACCAAATATACACAATTGTCATTAGCATCATCATCAAAGCTTTTTCCCAATTAATCTCATTAACAACTGAATTATTAAAAAAATTTAAAAATAATCAACCGAAGTTATATGTAAAGGAAATAATAAAAAATCAATATTTAAGCAATTTTCCAGGAGGTATTATTAATTGCCCATTTGGGGATACGGTGTTCCATACAAGTAATTGTTTTATTTTTGGTCTGATGCTCAAGTGGACACTAAAGCACAGGCAGGTCATAGAGGTGTGTAGATGATTCCCCTAGCACCACACATAAATGATTTCTATGAGAAAGACTCCTACCCGAGCAAGATCAGTTCGATTGCTCGAAGAGATTCACAGATTGAACAAAAGGGAGAGAAGATCTAGCCAAGGGCGTGATGCAACCTTGCAAAAGCCCTTGGGATGTGCCGCCTTCCACACTGACACAAGAAAGAGGAACTACAATGCTCATGGTCAACCAGACAATGCTCTGGAATGGATTCAGTACCCTGTCCTACTTGCTTCCTAGCTGAGCATAGACAGTGTGAGGGGTTAACATTTGAATGGTGATTGATGTGAAGGGTGTAGAGTAGACCTTGCTGTCAGTTTTGGACATGATTTCTTAAGTCAGATTTTGCATTTCAAACCATATTTCTCTTTTTATGGGTACACCCCAATGCATTGGTTAAATAAAACTCTCTTGGTTCCTAAGTTATTCTCCAATGCGCCCCTCACCTACTCTAAGAACCACAAGAGAGCAGCATTTGTGCCCTAAGCCCCAGCAAGTAAACTTCAGCTAAAATCCCATAAATAGGTATTTCCTTTGTTACAGATTTCTTGAACTATTTGTCCTCTTTTCCTTCAATACAATGTTATCAGACCAAAAAAAAAAGATTTCTTGAACTACTTCAAGCCATCAATAAAATTGTAATTTACTAAAAAAGAAAGAACTCACCATCCAAGTCCATTAACCAGACATGTTCTGTAAGCCACAATATTTTGAAGAGTCCATGGCTGCCTCCGAACCATCTTTGGAGATGAATAGGAACTACTCGTGTCATTGACAATAGGAAAACAAACTTTCTGTGTCTTCCCACACATTAATTATGTCTGGGGACATGGGTTGTCCAAGATAGGATACCCTTGAGCATGGTCAACTTCTATTAGCCCAAAATAATGGTCACCTGACAATAAATGCCCTGCTAGCTACTTTTTGTTGGGGTGGCTTAGGGCCATTTGACCAAGATCAATGGCCCAGATCCCCAGGCACATATAATCAATATTTGTGCGAAATGTGGAGAGGGAAAGTTTTCCCCTTCATCCTGGGATAGCCAACCATCCTTTTGGATATCTGAACTCCAACCAACAGCCATGCAACTTTAGAATGCTAAATGCATCCTGTATATCTAAATATCTCCATCTCAAAGTAATGCATTTCAATACTCTTTTTGGATCCACCTCCTCTCCACTCAGTATCACCAGGAATAAAACATCCCTCCCAGACTCCCCACATATCTAAAAATTTCCCCAAAATGATGCATGGCCATGCTAGTTTTGGATCCACCTCCTCTTGTCTCAAATCACCACAAAAAAAATATTTTCAAGAAGCTAATTGAACCCCAAATTGCATCCCATAGAAAATTTTCCAATATTGCAGTGACTGGCAGAAGTGTACTTCTGCATGTGACAACATAAGGAGCATGTAATGAATTGTCACTAAATTAACTGCATTTAAAAGGACATCCCACTCTCTCTAATTGCACATTAGAACTCAGCTACCCAAGATGTGCTGACTAACAAAAGCTCAGAAATCGTAGGTCTACCCATTGCAACATGAGAATCCATATGCACAAATGGAACTTAAAATAGTACATCACAGTTGTACCGCCATGAGAAAGTAATAACAAAATAAGGGCTCCATCTTCCACATTGCTAAAATACACTACTTTTCTCCAAGAAAGGCATTTACACACATGCACTATCATCATCTAAACATGTTTAATACTGATAAATGCAGAGAAAGCATGTCACGAGTAGCAAAGTTTATGACAGTTTGCTAGAAGAGGAAAGCCAGATGCCTTCCATGGCCGGTGTAACATACATCAATATTCTATAGGATGAAATTCAGCACTTAAAAAAAAGTACTTGTAATTCACCCAATTATATCGCATAAATATGCATGTATCCTGAAGTAACATAGATCTAAAGTCTTTGACACCTAAATGACAATGACCCTCAGCTTATAACTAAGAAAATGTTAATGGCAGATATTTTACGAAAAGCACCAAGCACTACAACCACATCAGTTCATGGCCACAGAATTAAACAAATGTAGAAAGACAAACCTGTGATTATTCTGAACCTCCATTTCCATTGCTCCATTTTGTGGTTCATCTCTAACTTTTGAAAGTGGTGAGAAGAACTGCAAGAAACAAACAAAAATAAGTATGTATGCATACAAAAACAAAACATTTAGTTCCATGGAGCAGAACCAACCAACTACCTGATGCATGGAGATAAAGACAATTGAGATTCCCAAGACAAAGTTTATCGTCAAAGTATGACCAAACAATGCTGCAGAGGCTATGCCAGTGAAGATCGTTGCAACAGTAGAAGAGTACTTCTTCAAAATTGTGTCTGCATGCAGGTAGAAAGGACTTAAGAAAAAACAAACAAAAAATACAAAGAATGGAAAAATCAAATTTAGGAGCCACCACACCTAAATAATATAACAGCCTGCCCAGCGTTTTAAAATGCGGCCGCATCATGCGGTATGCGGTGGGCTCCGTATCTGAACTGACCGTCTATGCGGTTTTGAGCTATGCGGGCGCATATGCGCCGCATCGTAGCGGCATCGCATCTTTTCCGCCGAAAGTTTTTTCGATTGTGCCCCTTGAGAAGGGGCAAAATGGTCTTTTTGACCATCCAAAAATGGGGGAAACAGTTTGGGGGGTATTACACCCCTCAAACGATGATTTACAGCCACTTTTGTGGCTTTTTTTTTATCAAATCGAGCAAAAAAAAAATTAGGCGGAAATTTTTTTTTTCATTCAAATCTTTGATTTGACGGTTGCTTGATACTTGGATGTCGATTTGATGCTTTTGATTGTTAATTTGGGGAAGTTAGGGTGAAAATATGATGATTTACAGCCACTTTTGTGCCTTTTGTTTTTATCAAATCGAGCAAAAAAATTAGGCGGAAATTTCTTTTTCATTTAAATCTTCGATTTGGCGGTTGTTTGATATTTACATGTTGATTTGATGCTTTTGATTGTGAATTTAGGGTGAATTTGTGACAAAAAATTTGAGCTTAACTTCAAAACTCTTTAATCTTCATGGAGACATGGACTTTTGGTTTGGAGTATCGCTATTTTGTAACTTTGAAGTTTGTGGTTGCAAAATTGTGCTTATGGTTGTTGATTGATGAATGTTTTATGAAGCAAGTTTAAAATTTCTATCCGGGGATAGTGGATCCAAAATCTCCGACAGCTAATATTTTGGAGTTAATCATTAAACTAAAATACCTACTATCACATATATCACCTCCATATTTTTTTCTATGCATTCACCTATTTTTGTAGATTTTTTAGAATTTTTTTGTATTTATTGACCACATCGTCGCGATGCACCCGCATCCGGACCGCATCGAGCCGCATCGGACCCCCCACTGCTTTTGGCCGCATCCTGAATTTTAAACACTGAGCCTGCCTAATACCATAAAAATTTTAAAAAATGAACCAGTAAACAATAAATTCTTTGACCTGCATATTTGAAAAAGAACGAGGAAAGAATTCCCTGAGCTGCATTGTTACAAATCAAAAACATTGTAGCCTTTGAATGCCCTTGAAGAATATTGAAGTGGCTTGGCCCTGGAAAAGTAATTAAAAAACAATACAAAATAAAAATTATTTGCAACATGTAAATAAGGTTGATCACTCTATGCATTCAAACATAAATTTCACCTAGGAATATTTGCATTCCCAATTATTCCATGCTTTTTTCTTTGGTGAATCCCATTATTCCAGGATTCAGCCTTTGCTACTAAAATAGAAGTTGCACATTCACAATGCACATATGCACATACCTTTGAATATAGCAATCCCAAGAATGGCAATGAAGTTGAATATTGCGCCATAGCCATACAAAAATAAGTTCTACAAATCATAGAACACAAAGCCCTTATGTCAGACATGTTCAAGACTTCGAATAGAAGGGCAAATAAATATTCAAATCTGAACAGGCAATTTTGAAAATCTTATTGTATAGGACATCCTCTGAAAAATAAACCAACCAAGATGAAACCACCAACAATTCCAAACCAAAATAGCATGTATCAAAATTTTAACAGTCAAAAGAATTTCGAATTTTCACCAAAAGATACTTTGATATCATGATAAACATAAAAAAAATCTCAATATGGTTTCGGGGTGAAAAAGGTTCTCCCAGGGCACCAATGAGGGAATTTATATGCTGCCACTGTCTAAGACACAATGAGCAGCACCACAGACAAGACTTGGAGAAAGATTCAGACAGAGTCCCACATAACAGATCATCTGATCTACCAGTTCTGAAGGCATTTTCTTCATCAAGGATGACACTTTCGATGTCAGCATAAATGCATCTATTGAATTCACATCTTACTTTTGATGTGATCTTCCTGCTTTCTCCAGGCTTTGGGACTTCTACTATGGCTCATATGTTCCAAGATACCATGGTCTTTTGAATATTAACGACGCTTCTTGAGCCAAATTTCTTATAACTTCCACATGAACAAGAACAGCTAAATAAACTGAAGGTCATGTTATACAGAAACCAAAAGCAATTAAAGGAACAGCACCTATACAATTATAAAGACACTCCCCAATTTATCTACCACAGTTTGCAAATGGTCTTATTCACCTGAAGGTAAATACTTGTCTCAAACTGACTCTTCAAAGCATACTCATTAAAAACTGACGCCATGGATGGAATAGTCACCTGGAATTAAATCAGAATATCAGTAATCAGAGAAAAATGTGAACCAGGTCAGAAGACAAACAATTTATTTCTCAATCCCAAACTCAATGATCTGAGTGAACTCTAATTCTTTTAATATATCAGTTAAAAAAACAAATTGTTAGGTTTTGTTAGAGAAATGTCCTCAGTTGGGTGAATGAATGAAAGCACAATACAGAAAATCATATAGTGCGAAGTCTTGAATTAGCAATAAAGTTTTTGCCATCAGAAAAGGAATCGAGAACTGAGAGCATAAAATCTCATAATGGAACATCAACACATCCATATATTGAAGTTCATAACATGAACCACAGTCCAATGGAAGGGAAACTTACAAAGATAACAGTGTACATGTATGCACCAGTTGCAACAGGGAGACCCAAAGGAGTGGTACCTTCAGGCAGTGACTTCAGCTGGTTAACTGAAATTCCAATGAGCAAAAGAGCAAGAGCCTCCCACTGTTCAAAGACAAAATAAAAGGACTATGAGGATTAAACGGGACCTAATATTTTTTTTTTGACTGATAAGCTACCTACATTAACTAAAGAATAAAATAGCCTTTTTCTGATCAAGAAATAACTTTATATAAAAAGGATTAACATATATAAATGTTAACATCAACCAATCTAATTAAGTGAATATTTGGGCCAAAATTTATCTTTTCTCTGAAAGAATATATTCATAATAACAAAGGAGAAACTGACAATAACAGCCATCTCAACTGACCTGAATTACTGAGAATCTTCTCCTCATAATGATTTTCAATAGAAGAGCAATAACCAGTACCTGTACATACACATTTTAAATAGAAGTTAAACACTACTAGATCATACATAAAAGGTGCACCAGATTATACAAGGGGGGAACATACATATTCACAGAGAGCCTATAACAAACAACAATGAATACAAATGCAAGTACAATATGCATACAAATCCATTCCTAGTTCTTTCCAGATGACAGCATGACTTTTTTTTAATATGAAAGAGAGAGCAAATACTCTTTTCCCTCCAAAACTTTCCTTCAACCTTAGTAAAAAGAAAGATAATGGAGATTAACCACAGCAGGGTACAATTAACATCCACTATTGGATGTCCCTGTGGTACATCATATGGCATTTGAAATTTTCTGATCATGTCAAGGTAGACCACTCATCTCAAAGCCTAACAAAAAAAACGCATGAGATCGAGATAAATGCAGCTGTCACCATAACAACTATTTGAGAGGTGAACGCGCCCAACAAAATCACATCAGAACCGAGATTAAGTTAACCCATCCATGCAAGAGCATCATATTGCTACTCCAGAAACTAATGCTCCCTTGGCAATTCTTGTAATTTCTCAGACTCCAATCCTCATGAAAAATTTAATACTTTACAATTCCCTTCATTTCATCAAATCCTTGAATGATTCCTAAGTTAACATGGTGGGAAGTAGGGCTGAGAATTTACCCAGTTTGGATCCGAAACCCAAATTTCAGATCCTATTTGGATCCAGATCCCAAATTTAGATCCGAATATTGGATCCGGGTACAGGTGGATCCAATCCGGATCGAACCCGATTTTTAAAATAGTATATATTATTTAACATATATATAGTTATATATTTATTAATTTATATGTGGTGCTTACTCTTAGAAAGAGCACTATTCTATTCTTCTTTAGTTGACCGTAAGACCCCGGTGGGATCGAAGCCCCTACAGACAAAAGGGGGGGACTGTTTCTCAACCAGCCCTACCTACTTCAGTGAAACTGGAACCGAAAAAAGACCTTATGTTAGGGTACTTATACATGTGAGCATTTACTTAATGTACTCAACATTTTTTTACTCTAATTACCCTTGCTTTGTAGTAAATTTTTTTTTTAAAAGGGTATTTTTCGTCATTAGAAGGGGTAGGATAGATATTTCTAAAAGAATTTAGTGGCATTTAATGCTCTATATGGGTGATGTCACACTCCATATAGATGATAACATTCTCTATTATAATTAATAAATGTTCTTGCTCCTATCATGAATTTCTACTTTGAAATAAAATAATTACCTAAAATACCTTTGGATAAAAAATTACTATATTATGGGGTAAAGGTATTAAATGCCAAAAAATGTTGAGTACATTAAGTAAATGCTCACATATATATATATATATATATATATAAAAGATGCTAGGGTGAGCCCACTAGCTCACTGGAAAAAATGAGCCCAACGTCTCAGATTGAATCTAAGCCGATCTGACGATCACGGGTGTCCGGTAGTGTTTGAATTTTAATTTTTTTTCTACAAATCCAAATCATTTGAAATTTGGAGCGCGTGTACATCAAAAATAGATGAATCTTCCAAATATATCAAAAAATATTTTATATGAAATAAATTGATCAAAATACCCCAAAAAGTTTTGGTGGTATTTTGGTCATTTGTTTTTTGAGAATTATTTTTTTATATATTTTTATTAGGTGCAGCTTGATGAGAAGAACACACGCCTAAAATTACAAGTGATTTAGATTTGTAGAAAAAAATTAAAATTCAAACACTACCATACATCCGTGTTCGTCAGATCGACCCAGATTCAATCTTGGCTATTGGGCTTATACTTCCATTAGCTAGTGGGCTCACCAAAGCTTTTTCCTATATATATATATATATAGAAGATACTACAAAACGCCTATAGGAGAAATGACCAGTGATTTCGCTACCCTCATCA